TTTAAAACCTTTCAAAATTGACTAAACCGATTTACAGAGGCGACAGCTGCGACTTCAGAAATATCTGCGTTACTGCTGCAACACCACTTTGTACCAAAAGATGGCGCAGTGAGTCAGTTTAAACTTTTTTTGTTTTTTTTTTTAAACACAAACAGTCATAAAGAGCACATAATTTTTTTTTAACACCTGGGAAAAGAAAAAGCATGTTGATGAAATTGGGGCAGCTAAAAGGAAACGTTAACAATTAAACAGCAGCACGTAGACTAAGACCACTAACACGCTGCCACCTGGTGGTGAGAAATAGAACATTTTGTAGAGGGTAACTACAAAAAGTAGCTTTGTGTTCATAAATATTGGTTTATTTAGTTTCTTTAATTTATTTAGAATAAAATAATATTATGACCCTCCCACTTAAAAAATGATGCATCTTTGGACGTTTGTGGTAATTTAACTGTAAAATTGTGCGGTTATTGCTGAGGACTTGAACTTGAAATCAGTCTCATTTAAATGGGATCAAGTTAAAATGGCAGTTTTTATTTGTTCTTTTGTGCTACTTTTTATTTTTTGCAGTGCTTTGGGATTTATTCAGCAAGCAGTGTGACACACAAGTAGCCAACAAAATTATCATTGATTCATATGTCAGTTATTTTTATTACCAGTTAATCATGTAGCCTTCCACAGCTTCACTAAAAGTGTTTGTTTTGTCCAACAAATTGTCCAGAACCCAACGAGTGTTTCGGCCTTCCTCCGTACACAGCAGACTTTATTTCTATCTGCAATCACAAAAGTGCACAGTACTGTACAGTCGCCTCACCTGCTGTGAAAAGCTTACATGCATAATGAAGCTGTTGACCGGCACACGCATGCACACCTCTGTCAACGAACACACTGGGGATGCTGTGATTGGGAGAGCTGGTGTCGGCTGGGAATATGAGTCAGGTTAGTATGACTTCATTCCTTTTTACGGGTATTAGGTCATCTCTCTGCCTCACTTTCCCCTATTTCCACCCCCCTTCCCTCTTGCCTCTCCCCTCCCCCCGTCTGTGTGTCTAATCATATTGATGCTGTACAGCTAGTGACACGCCTAGTGATGAGTAAGGCTCACCTCACCGCCGCTTCCCGTATGGCGGTGATCTCACAGAGCGCTTTGAACTCAGGAGTCCTGCTTGGCCTTCTTGTTATTCTTGGCATTAATGTCTCATTTTTATTGAATGTATTGCAGACAGCTGGGTGATTTGGATATTGCTTTTACTGTTCACAATGAAAGAGTGTACTTTTTAATCTGCAGAAGGGCAGACTCACAAACTGGGTCAAATTTCATTATAAATTATGATGGCTTGATACAAATAAAATGTCTCACATCGGATGGCTCTCAAGTTGAAGCTTGAATGCACTTTAACATTTATTCAAGGGTAAAATGAAAAGTCTATGAATTGTAAAGAGGATCTATTATGCATTTCCTTATTTTCTGTCGCATAGATACTGATATAAGGAGGATGCTCATATTCAGTTTTATTTATATAACACCAAATCATGACAATGGTTGCCTTCATATTGCAAGGTATGTAAGCCATGTTTCATATCTACAGTAATACATATGAAGAATAGTTAAATGTGAGGATGAATCGTCCCTGTGAGCCCAAAGCTCAGACTGCTCTACACACTCACTTTCAGATATTTTCTCCATTCTTTCATTTCAGGTCTCAGAGTGAATACCCCCGTCAGGCAGGTAGCTCAGGCGGTGAAGCCCAAATCACCTGATGTTTGCTTTATTTTTTTGAGAGTGGCAGCCAATCAGAAGAAAATGAGCTTAGAGGAAGCATGAAGGAAGCTGCAACACAGGATGAGACGAGTGACTGCATGAGTGGCACAGTACACGAAAATAAAGAATCACACAAAGTAACTCACTGGCTTCCATCTTCTTAACTGCTGGTTTTTCTCACAGATCTTTGATAGCTAACAGAGGTGATCAAGCCTTTGTCATTAATCAAAGAAAAACTTGAACTTGAACAGAAGACATTTACGGATGTTTGATAATGTGGCAGTTTTTTATGATCTCCTGTTGAGCAGTTTTTAATGATCTTATTTTGGACGCATTTAATTATGGAGCCGTCTGATTATGGTGTGGTTAACGCTGTCATCTCGTGTGTCCTCGTGTGAACCTCCCGGTTGGGTGGGGCCTTTCTGTGTACAGTTTGCACGTTCGCCTTGTTGCTGCAGGACTTTCCTTCCTCAGTCCAAAGACGTGCTTTTCAGGTTTGCTGATGAGTCTAACGTGGATGCGCAGGTGTGTGTTTTGTCTGCGATGGACTGATGACCTGCCCAGGATGCACCCCACCTTTTGCCCCCCCACCTTAATTCTTGTTAATCTTATTAATAAAAGTGCCGTAACTCTTCCATTATACTTCCATTTAACCTAATAAGTACTTTTAAACTGGAAATTGTTGAATATTTTATTAATAAAAAAAGATTTTCAGTACTATATTATATATAAATAATTTATCTGGGGCGATCGTGGCTCAAAAGTTGGGAGTTCGCCTTGTAATCGGAAGGTTGCCGGTTCGAGCCCCGGCTTGGACGGTCTCGGTCGTTGTGTCCTTGGGCAAGACACTTCACCCGTTGCCTACTGGTGGTGGTCAGAGGGCCCGGTGGCGCCAGTGTCCGGCAGCCTCGCCTCTGTCAGTGCGCCCAAGGGTGGCTGTGGCTACAATGTAGCTGCCATCACCAGTGTGTGAATGGGTGGATGACTGGTTGTGTAAAGCGCTTTGGGGTCCTTAGGGACTAGAAAAGCGCTATATAAATACAGGCCATTTACCATTTAATACAACTAATATGCCACCCCATAAGGTACAGCATTAAGACCAGAGGAGTCTACATCACAGTGTCACGGTGCGTTCGAGTGACCCAGAATCCTATCCCATCATTTATGAACGTTACAGATGTAAACAAACCATTTACAGCTCGGTAACATAGGTCATGTAAAATTCATGCTCAGCCGTTACATAATGATAAGCAAACCCACCAAGAGCTCTGCAGAATATCTTTCGGCAGCACACTCGAGTTGTTTTTAATTTGTGTTTTTTTGTTTGTATTTAGAACGAGTTTGGGATCGCAGGGAATTAAACCGACTGCATCATTCAACTGGGCCATCTGTACAGCTTGATAATGGCAGTCGTGCTGCTATAGTCGCCTTGATGAAGGCTTGTATGATGCTCCCTGGATGGCACTTTAATTAAATTATCAATTCATGGAAAGCCCGGCACAGGTCAGTGTATCAATCACTAGCAAAGTGGGGTCCATGGAGCTGGGGGGTCCCCGAGGGCTCTCCGGGGGTCCCAAGTGAAAATAAAACAACAGTTATTTAATTCATTAAAAAGTGTTTGCTAACCGCTGTAGTAACAGGTGCATGAAGTGTGATGTGAAATAATTTTACCTGAGCATCAGCTTCAGTGGGATCCTGTGTGGAAAAAGAACCGGGCCCATTTCAGAGCAGCACAAGTTTTGAAAAATAAAAGATTTTGAGGTATTAAAGATTTGTTTTGCCATCTAATATTTTACTTTAAACTTACAGCAACGTAATCTAAAATTAATATGATGCCTGACAGTAAAAATGTGAACGACACAGAAAAGTAACATGTTCAGATACACAGCAGCAAAGTCATTACTTTAGGTTTATTTGAAAACCACTGGGTTAGCTTGTTTTTTTTACTGGCACTCCAACCATCTGGCCTCTTGCAGTAAATTGAGTTTACATCACTCTTATATCACAGCATAACTACAGTACAAGCACTTTCTATTTTGCTTGTGTCACTGTTGGAGATGAATTCAGAAATTAAGGCAGCACTTAAACACAAACATAAAGCACAACATCCTACAGACTCTCATTAATCTTTACAACCTGAACTCCGTGGTGCTGTCATCAGCTGTTCAGCAGGAGGAGAAAAAAGCCATCCGTGCTCTGTGAGCGATGTTTGCATGGGCTATTCCAGGAACAAGAAACGTGACTCAAGTAAAAGTCATGTCCTCATTTAAATACTAGCATACACATCATTTCAAAATGTACTTAAAGTACTTAAAATAAAACCATGTATATCACTTTGTTGTTGCAGCTTGACTGTTTTAATTACATACAACGCTCGGTAGCTTTGTCTATAATAACCCAGCATCATGTATTAGCAGAATCATAGTTTAAAATCATTAAAATACGCAGCAGGGAGTACACAGTGCATCCAAAATATATTGGATTAGAAGAGGATAGCAGCATAATATACAGAAACAGAGTAGCCACGCTCTCAGCACTACTCTGCCCTAGTTACCTTAGTGGGGGGCACCATGAGGGGGCTGTGCCACCCCTCATGCCGGCCCTCTGGACACACCCCTGTTCCGTACCCCCAGTATTAGTCACCCCTTGCACACATTTGGTTTATTTTCTCCAAACATTCCTTGCTCGACTGAAGCCCTCACCAGCTAAAAATACTGTCACTACCGAAGCGTTAATCATGGTCGCCAGGTGGCGCCTGCAGGCTGCATTGTAATTAGCGGAGATTGGCAGCCTAATCAAGTGTGTGGATCTGCAGGTGGCTGCTGGCCCGGGTCGACTCGACTCGGAGCTCCGCGGCTCTCCAATTTGTTCAAAGGAAACGCGTCCCAGCGGATGATACCGCGATTAACTGGGACTGGCGACATTTGGAAAGGTCACCCGTGAGCGCAGAGACAGGAGACGCGTTTTAAAGCGCTGCAGAAGAAAAGGCAGAAGAAGACGAAGGTAGGACGGAGAGCTGAACGTGTTTCAGCTGGAAGATTAAATGCATTTATTCTGCTTCTTATAGTTTGTAACAGGGAGCAGGCAGAGAGTTGAATCAGTTCATGAACTCAGTGACCCACGCTGACAGTTTCCATTCAGTGTGTCAGCCAGTGGATGGCGTGGATGTGCTGTGCTTGTGAATGACTTCAGTGGAAGGCTGTGGGGTTCTATTTATGTCATATGTACTAAGTGGTAGCAGGGGGCGCCAGAGAGGCGCAGAGTGAGAGCGTCCTCATAACTCGTGACGAAAGCATGCATGTACGCCGAGTGAGCGCTTTGTTAGAAACCACATTAGAATCAGCCAATCACGCGGCAGCAGAGCGGCGCGCGACACCCAGCAGGCGCTTCGCCCAATGATGACATCATACTCCAGAAAATAGGAAGAAATGTGAGGTTTGTGTCAGCTGTGCTGGTTTGAGCGTTACTGAACCTGTTGATTTCCGGAAAATCTGCACTCATACTGATGCTCAGAAAACAGAAAGCACAGCTTTACCGGTAACCGAAGTCAATATTGATTGTTCAGTTTTGTTATTTGTCTCTCGACGTGAACCGGGGAAATCCCAAAGAAATCCACGCTGTGAAATCAGTCAGAATCAGAATACTTTATTAATCACGGTGTGTGAGGTGGAGGGATACATTAAAATACCAATATGATATAAAATATGAAGCTAGAAAAATGTAAGCAACATATATAAAAAATACGTTTAAAAAGGGGCCACATTCAAGGTACAGTAAGTTAAAATAAATACTCCAAAGTTTAATGATACTACGGACAATAAACACAAGATATGGCGAGTCTAAACAGTCCAGATGTCATAGTGGGTAGTTGTAACGTTTGATGAGTTCCTGTGCCATTCTCTGCATCAGGATGAACACAGAGTGCTTAAGCCTCCGGTGTGTGCACATGGAAACAGTGCCAATAGAGCTGTAATTCTCTTAATGTCCACAAACAGACTGTTCTGGTTGTACTATGTATTGCAGTTACCCACCACAGCCCCGTGCTCCTTGTCTTCTGATACATAACACTGCTGCAGAGTTCAGGAGACTGCTGAAGATGTAGCTAAAGTCTGCAATGTAGAGGCTGAAGAGGAAGGGGGGGATAAAGACCCCAGTCAACTCCAACTCAGGGTCGGCAGGCGAACTGGTCCAGGATGAGGCTCTGCAGGGTCTTCATGATGCGTGATATTGTGTTTGGGCCATTTCCTGATTTTTAAAAAGGCGACTTGTCAGAGACAAATATCAACTCTATTTTAGAAGCAGCTCATTGCACAGTCTGTTTGGAGAGAGTTTAATCCAGGACATTTTGTTACAGCTATAATTTACAGATTTTTCCTGAATGACTCACACAGGCAGTCGCAAAGAGACTATTTTGAAAAGCAGTCAGCTAAAAAGATATACTGTGTTTGCGAGTGTGTGTGTGCGCCGACTTGTTTTTGTGGCTGTGCAGCACAGGGAGTGTGTCGCAGCTTTCTTGAGAATCATTCCTCCGTGAAATTAAATAGAAACTTGTTCTGTCATCTTTATGAGAGCCAGTTTAAGTCTTAGACCGTGAGAGAGATTACATATTGTAAAACTGACGACTTTTTGTCCAGCTCTCGTTTTTCCACATCCATTAAAACACCTGTTTGAGGCTTAACGCTTCATTTTAGGGTGATATTTGAGGTTGGGATAAGGGTTTGGAAGCTAAATGAGATGGTGAAACCTTGAGTTGAGAGGCAGTCCAACAAGCCCGGCTGTATTTTAAACGAGTCCTTCTTTCTACACACAGAGTGGAGCAGGCTGGATTCATTGGTAACAGAGAACAAATTCAGGATAAAATGCTGAAAACACTGTTCTGGAAACACTTCTGGGCACATTTCATGATGAATATACAGAGGGACAAGAAGGCAGTGTATACTGAAAACAGCTCTTTCATTTGTCTGACTGAATTTGAACATACAGATGCTTTTTCTGCTTTTTTCATTGAAACCATGTTACAATGGGATCTTTCATGGCAGGAGGATGGAGGGGATTATGGCCCTCGTAGTTTACTGTACACGCAGGCATGTGATTATTTAAGTACGTCTGATTACGTTTACATCAGCTTGTACTAAAAGAACGATTTATGTGTTCTACGTTGTTAAAAGTGTAGAACATGTACAATTAATGAAATGATGGTACAACTGTACTGTAAGAATAGTGAAGTATGGGACTAATTCTGCTGGTAACAGGAGACTCTGTTGGTGGAAACACATGTGACTCCATAGCAAGATTTTCTGTTGTTGTTGTTCCCACGGTGACAGAAATGTCCATTGTAGACATCAGGTTGTGAAGTCTGCAGCAGTTGAGGATTATTCAGCCTCCGAGCGACTGTGTGTCATCTACAGTTTCCCGAGTTTCCCCGGTGGAGTTTTACTTCCTCATGTCGCTGATTGAAATAACGAGTCAAGCGTTTGATCTTCCTGGTGGTTTCTATCTGTTTAGAATACTCCCTCATCAGAGATGGCGCATCGTGTTTCCCGTCTCGGCAATATTTTTTTCACATCTCCAGCACACTGTGAAAAATCACGAGGTGAATTTACATAAGACTGAAGGCTTTCAGATAATTTGCACGCCAAGCAAAACAAAGGCTCATAAAGCAACAACTGTTTGACATGACGCTGATGTTGCTCTGTAGTTGTAAACAAAATGTCAAACTAACGTTCAGCTTTGCCTTAAAAGATTTGAAAAAATGAATTTAGATAAATATTATTCTATTTCCAGGCTCGTCTACACTGGATAGAAACATTAGGCACCAGTCTTCTGTTAATGATTCAGGCAAAAATAGGAAGATGAACAATGATCTCTTAAGCAGCAGAGATGACGTCAGACTGTACGTAAAAGATGGACACGATGATGTCACATGCTGGTTTGTGGAGTCCTTAAAGCACCGAGAGAGAATTTGTCTTAGTTTTCTTTTTAATGTGTCCAAATGTGGTTTGACCACATTTAAAAATAAATGTAGTAGGACTGGGCTATATCATACCGTTCACGGTAATACCGGTGT